ACACAGTTCAAAGATCGCTCGCTCGCAGTCATGTGGAAAAGAAATTCAGTGAATGAAGGGAAATAGAGTGTACAGTCTAACTACTCGACCAAAAACCCGAAAAGTTATCAAGGGTCGTTGGGTATTCAAAGTCAAAATGCTCCCCGACGCTTCCGGTCATCAAGACCATACAATCTTGATGGCCGGAAGGAACCCCTTCCGGCCATCGACACCTCATTGACCAGAAGGAATCCCTTCCGGTTGATGAGGTTGTTACACTTCATCAATCGGAAGGAATCCCTTCCGGTCCTCATTGATCAGAAGGGATTCCTTTCGATCGATGAGGTGTAACAACCTCATCGACCAGAAGGGATTCCTTCTGGTCAATGAGGTGTCGATGGCCGGAAGGGGTTCCTTCCGGCCATCAAGATTGTATGGTCTTGATGACCGGAAGCGTCGGGGAGCATTTTGACTTTGAATACCCAACGACCCTTGATAACTTTTCGGGTTTTTGGTCGAGTAGTTAGACTGTACACTCTTTTTTCCTTCATTCCCTGAATTTCTTTTCGACATGCCTCGAGCCAGCGATCTTTGAACTGTGAATTTTGAATCTCTTTGAACCCTTTGGGTTCGAATTTCGGGTCGGAGTTCTCTTTGGGTGTGATTATTGGCTGAGATGTGGTTAAATATGCTCGTTTGGGCTGGTTGCTGATTCTGGTTGATCTTCGGACATAGTTGGGATGGTCTGGGTGGGATGACTTTAATTACCGGTTGTGTGTTTGGGTCGGAGGTATGGTCGATGTGATCTTCATCAGATTCGCTATTTGTTTCTTCTTTCGATTCTGCCTCTTGGTTGGTGTTCTGCCTCTCGTCAGTCTCAGTGTCGATTTCAAAAGGGTCATTGATGACCTCCCCTTGTTCAGGAAAACTGTTTTTGTCGAATGTTACGTTGTGGGTATTGACTATCTTGTGATTTTCATAGTCGAAGATAAGATAATTCCAATTGAATTCATCAAAACCCACTAGTATACCTCTCCGATAAGTTGCACTGAATTTGTTATCACGTTCCTCATCGCGGTTATGTATGTAGGCCAGACAACCAAAGGTTCGGATGTATTTGAGGTTGGGTTTATGACCGTACCATAGTTGGTAAGCACATTTGGGGAACCCATTTCGTGATTGGTTGAACACCCTGTTCTGGATGAACACGGCCGCATCGCATGCTAAACTCCAATATCTCGTTGGAACGCCGCTATGGAGTAGCAAAGCACGAGCTTTGGTGGCTATCGTCCTCATGAAGCGTTCTACTAAACCATTTTGTTGCGGTGTGTATGGCGCCGTAGTATTCTTGACAATGCCCAGCGATTCACAGAAAGGGATAAGGAGTGAATTGATAAATTTGCCACCTCCATCGGTTGTGATCATCTTTACTTTCTTCTCACAGTGTCTTTTGGCTCTCAGGATGAATGAATTGATTGCATCGAAGACTTCTTATTTTGTTTTTGTCTTAAGAAAATAAATGAAAGCCATACGCGTATATTCGTCGATAATTAACATAAAGTAAGAATAATTAAAAATACATGGTGTTCTAATTATTCCACTTAAGTCTATGTGTATGTTATCTAGGGGATTTTGAGTATACGGTTTGGTGCCGGAGAAGGGGAGTTTGGTCGATTTACTGATCCTACATGTGTCACATGTCTCATCGATTTTGTCATTCTCGAGAGTCTTTTTGAGATAGGACGGGTTGATATATCCTAGCCAATTGTGATCTGTGTTAGAAGCGTTTTGGTTAGTGATTTTCTTAGCATGAGTCGTGATTGAGGTATTGCTGACCGGTTCTATTTGGACCACCATTAGGTTGTTGACGTATCGTCCGCGGAGGAATGTCTCATCATCGAACACAACGATGAATTTGCTCGGATCTTTGGGGTCAATCACTTCGATCGCGCCTTTTTGCTTCAGCGCGCCCGCTGCGATCAGGTTGTTTCTGAGACTGGGTATGTATAAGGCGCTTCGCAATGTGAATTTCTCGATTGTTACACCCTTCAATTCAACTTCGCCACTTGCTTCCACTTTGAGTTCTTCGGATCCGGCGGTCATGATGGATTCATGCGCTTGAGATGTGTTGTTGACATTCTTGAAGAAAACGTAATCGTTGAACATATGGCTGGATGCTCCTGTGTCCCATATAGCTTTGAATTTGGGATGTAAGAGGTTGGCCTCATGTCCGTATGCGACGAATACATAGTTCTTCTTCGTTACCAGAGCTTGAACAGTTGGGATGCTGGTGTGGTTTGCGACGGCTGGTGGTTCTGGATCTGGTGTGTGGGCTACGTGGGCTTGTCTTTTGGGAGGATTAAGCCCCCGTTTTTCAAACCATTCTCGCTCTGCCTTCGCGTTTTCGGGTTTCTTGAAACATTTATCCGAGGGGTGTGGACCAAGGCAGTTTGTCGGGGTGCACTGCTGTTTTGGCGATCCTTGTTTGAACGTGTTGTTGGCAAGTTTGAGTCCGTTCATGCCTTCGGAGATTTTTCCGCCAGAAGATAGTTGAAACTCGGTGTTCTCGTCTTCATATCGTTTGAGCGCGGCTGTGACCGATTGGGTTGTTATGGGTATGACGGTTCGCAAGATATGTCGTACTTCTGCGATGTGTGTGTTGTGAATAGAATGGAGTAGTCGTCTGCCGAGGAGCGATTCGTCGATGTATCCTCCTCGGTTGAGAAATTCGTTTTTGAGTTTGGAGAAGTTGTCGAGATGTGCTGAGATTGATGTTTTGAAATCTTGTTTGAATTGCTCTATTTTGGTTTGGAGAAGATAGATATTGGCTTCATTGTCGGATTGGTGAAAGTCTTTGATGATTGTCCATAAATGGCCCGGTCTTCGGCCCATGGCAGGGACTAGTCTTCCAGGAGTCGGTTGTGCGTTTGGATCTGCTGCAATTTCTTCGTCTGTCGGTGGGATCATTTCTCTGACTAGGGGTATCTTAACATCGAGTAATCCTGCTCGGAACCTTGCCATGTTTGTTTCATCCATGCGGGAGAACAGGAATTTGAGTATGCAATTTCTATTGATGTGATTAATCGATGGTTCAACTTCATCGTCTTCGTAGTATATGTCAGTGAGATAACTGTCGAAGAATATGCTATTGAGCTGTCCCATGACTTGTTTCGACCACGATGTGTAGTTCTTGTCGCTTAAGTCGTCGATGCCTTTGATTTTATTGAGCATCGAAGACATGGCAAACGCGTGAGCTTGGTCTGCGCCGAGGACGAGTCCACCTCGAGTTGAAGCATTTTTCGCCGCTGACTTCTGTGCATTTCGGATTCTGGTTTGTTCAGATTGTGATTGTTCGGACATATTGATCTCTCGCTACCATGTAAATTTTGATGGAATACGAAATGCACTTTGTTATGAAAACAATGATAGATCAGATAACGACTCTCGACGATACGACTCTCGACTTGACAACACACCTGCGGTAACGCAGAATAGTTTTTGTTTTGTATTTTATTGAGTGATGATGATGGAGGACACGCGAAGACACAGTCAGTCTTTTCTCCACTTTTTAGTTGAATAAGCGTGTATATTTCTTGATGTGATGATAGACCAGAAAAGAAAAATAAGATAACAAAATAAATGAGATGACAACTAGCGAACCTTTGTTATGAAAACAATGATAGATCAGATAACGACTCTCGACAATACGACTCTCGACTTGACAACACACCTGAGAAAAAGAATGAATGAGAAAAAGAAATAGATAATGATAACTTTTAATATCGATAACATTGATGAAAGAGAATGGAAAGAAAAAAAATTATCATACCGGCAGTACGCAGAATAATTTATATATAAGTATTTTAGTGAGTGAAAGATGAGGAAGAACACGAGAAAGACACAGTTTGTATTGAGATAAGGATGGAAAAAAGAAAAAGAAGAACAAATAGAATAAAAGGAAAAGTCTCAGTTTCTGTTCGGGGTTCTTGATGATCAGTTTTGTTGAGGAAGATTACGTACCAGTCTTTTCTCCACTTTTTAGTTGAATAAGCGTGTGAAGAAAAGACCGGTTGATGAGGAATGGGGGGGGTGATTTTATACTGGGAGTGAGCGGGTGTACCGATAAGATTTCATTCGGTGATGAAAAGGCAGACTCGAGTGAAAATTGACATTTGCTGCGTATTCATAATTCGATCTGGTCTATTTGAATTATGAATAACTCAACATACAGTCTCAATGACCGGAGGGAATCCCCCCGGCCAGTGGGAGGGAGGCGACTCCCAAACCTCCCACTTGCCAAGGAGGGTTTTGGGTGCCGACTCCCACCCAAAAAAAATAAATTTTAATAAAAAAAAATTGGGAAGTCGACTCCCAATCCCCCAGGGGGAATTGGAAAGACGACTCCCGTCCGACGACCCCTCGACCAAAATGGGAGTCGTCGGCAAATTTTAGGGAGTCGTTTTTCCAACCCCCTCTTTGAAACCTGCATTTTCCACCATTCCACAAACTCTTGTGACTTGAAGTGTTTGGGTTCCCGCTGTGGAGCTCAAAGCAGATTGCTATAAACATCTGGGAGGAGACTGTACATACTTAAAAGAAGGGGCTTGGTCAAACAACTCCCAAAAACCGAAGAGCCGACTCCCAAGCCCCGGATTCCCCAAAAATGGGAGTCAAACCCTCAAAACCATTGACTCCCTGAAATAATTACAAAAAAATAATAAAAACCCGGTTGGTCTGGGAGTTGATCTTCCCAAACCGACTAGGGTTTGGGGGTTGATGAACCAAACGACCCCCACGGCAGCGGCCGGGAGGAATCCTCCCGGCTGTTGAGGTACACTCTCAATGGCCGTGGGCTTACCCCTTGGCCGCAAGAGTGTACACCTCAATGGCTGAGAGGAATCCTCTTGGCCGTCAAGGGTAAACACTATTGACAGCCAATGGAACCCGCCTTGGCCGTCAAGGTGTACACACCTCAACGGCAGAGAGGAATTCTCTCGGCCGTTGAGGGTACACTCTCATCGGCCGAGGGAAACCACCTTGGCCGTCAAGGTTCACACTCTCCACGGCCCGGAGGCAGCTCTCGGTTGTCAAGGAGTGCAAGGAGTGCACTCAGCGGCCAAGGGTTTCCCTGAGTGCACACCTTGACGGCCAAGAGGCAGCTCTTGGCCATTGAGGTCTGCACTCTGTTGGAATTTCAACTCCTCCCTTCTTCATCTTGTTCTCTTCTCAAATTTATATTAATTCTTTCACCATCAATACACTCAACTACTAATAATTCTATAGTCTGACAGGTAGCAAGTCATGAAGTTAAACATCAAATTCTTGTAGTCAATGAACCCTGAATCCCTAGTTGTTGATTTCTTTCTTCTCCATGCCTATCTTCTAATTATTCTTAAAGTTATGGTGTTGAGATTGATCTAATGAAACTAAAATCTTCACTAGAATTGTGGTTCTTGTTTTCTTTTGTTGTTTATCAAGTAGAGTTATCATAAATAAAAGAATGTCTCTCTCAAGCTTCATCAACATTGAATTCAATTTTCCTCTCAGTCTGTTTTTTTCTTATTCATTATTGTTCTTTATTCAGATTCTCCACAATCACTTTCTGACCATCTTGTACTTGGTCTATTTAAACATAGCTAGTTATAAGAAATCAAACCTAATCAGTTCTATCTTCATTTCTCGCAACTCTGAGCTGTTCCGACAAATTTTTTTTGTGTCCAAACTCTCTCAAAAACTCCTCCCTGTTAATTGCCAAAAGTTTCAACACACTCAGAGGCCAGGTTTTCTCTGAGTGCACACCTCAACGGCTGTCGAGTGTACCCTTGGCCGTTGACTGAGGCGGTTCCATTGGCCGATGAGAGTGTACCCTCAACGGCCGAGAGAATTCCTCTCTGCCGTTGAGGTGTGTACACCTCAACGGTGTGGTAAGCCAATCTTGAATAAGAGGCCCACAAAATCAAAGCCTCAAGCACAATATCAAGCCCTCTGGACAACATAACCCTCAAGGACCAAGACAAGCCCCCTCTGGAATATTCAACCAACCTGCAACACCATGGATGTCACAATACCAAGCCCCCTGGACAGAAGACACTCTGGATTCTCATTTCATTTCATTATTTCATAATCATCCCATGCAGGCTCACATCATCAATCCCCATTCAGCCTTCTACACTTGGCCTCTACATGTGTTTCACTCTAATCCAAATTCACTCTAGTCTCATTTCCACTTTGGGCGACATTCTATTGTTTCACACTATTCCTCTTGGGTTATTTTCATGTCTCACACTAGTGCACATTTGGCTAGTTCATTTACCTCTTTGGTATATTCTTCCTCCCTCATTGGTTGTGGCACATTTCATCCCTGCATGTCTCTGATGTCATTTCCTCCATTCATCTTAGTGTCTACCAATTGGGCCACATGGTTTCAGTTTGATAATTTTCTCTTCTTCCATTTTTTTCCATGGTGTTTCCAACCACAAGCTGGCCACTCCCCATATTTTGTATATAAGGAGCCTTGTTTTCCCCTCTTCATTTGTTCCTCATCAGATCCTGCCCCAGCAATCCAGATAACTGATCACCCTTCATTAGCCTAGTAGTTGCCCATCAACATTTGGGATACTAGTATTATTCAGACAGAAGACCAGAAGACAGAAGACATACCCATCTCAAGAATTCTCCAAAGCCACACCTTTCCTTAAGAGTCCACACTCTTATCTTTTTCTTGTTATCTTACTCAACCCAGTAACCAGAGAGGCAGCCCATTAAAGCATCTTTCCCTCTCCAGCTCTATTCATCCCAAAGAGTAGTTCCACAACGGCCAAGGCGGGTTCTATTGGCTGTCAATAGTGTTTACCCTTGACGGCCAAGAGGATTCCTCTCAGCCAGCCATAGAGGTGTACACTCTTGCGGCCAAGGGGTAAGCCCACGGCCGTTGAGAGTGTACCTCAGCGGCCGGGGGGATTCCTCCCAGCCACTGCCGCGGGGGTCATTTGGTTCATTGACCCCAAACCCTGGTTGGTTTGGGAAGATCGACTCCCAGACCAACCGGGGTTTTTATTATTTTTTTGTAATTTTTTTTAGGGAGTCAACTCCCAAACCAGTCAATGGTATTGAGGGTTTGACTCCCATTTTTCGGGGAAACGGGGCTTGGGAGTCGGCTCTCCAATTTTTGGGAGTCATTTGACCAAGCCCCTAAAAGAAAGATATCTGGCTTGTTTTTTTGGTAGAAAATCACATCTGATTCATTCATCTGAAGAATTTCTACCAATATGGATAAGGTTATATCTACAGGCTTCTTCATGGTCAGTTTTTTTTACAAACTCATGGACAGTGTTTCTTGTTAGCAATCACTTTGGTGGGTTTTTCTTGAATCTATCTTATAGTGATTTTTGAAGGTCAAAAAAAGCTGCGTGGATTTATTCATCCTGTTGGGGTTGCTTAACTTTTGAATGATAATGTTCCTTGAGGTTCTCATCTGATTATGAAACTTGAAACTGTTTTATTTTGAAGGTCATCATTGGTTTTGGAGTGGTTTCCAGTTGTAGGCTTGGTACTTCAACTTGAGCCATTCAAAGAAGTCTGATGCTTTTGATGGTTTCGGCAGTAGCCTAGTATCGAGTGGCGTAGGTAATATGCTTATCTCGGGGGCAGTACTGTCTCTCCGCTGTACTCCGATTCCTCCCCCGCACAGCACTCCCACAAAAAAAAACCAAGAGCCAACCCAACTCACTCGTCATCATCGTCATCATCATCACCCAACACTTCAACCTCAACATGCTTCAAACACTCAGACCTGGGATTCGCAGCATGCTCGCTCGATCCGTTCAACGCAAAACCTATGCCACGTAAGCGATTCAACATCTTTGATCCTTTCATCGGTCTGGAAACTGTAGGGGTATCGGTGGTAGAACGAATCATTCACCGACTCAACATGATACTGACTATTTCATCGTTTTGCACTCCTTTTCGGAAAAAATAAATAAATGAAATCAACAGTGCCGGTGGCGATGCACTTGGTGAGGCATTTGTGAAAGAGCGAGAGGCGATCAAGAGCCACGCCGCCAGTTCCTCTGAGCTTTGGAGGAAGATCACGTTTGTTCACCGATTCCTAGCGATCTAGTGATACCTTGACGATTCAGATCGACTGACGGTTAGATATTCATTTTTTGCTTGAACCTGGATTGCTCACCAGCTACTATGTCGCTTTTCCCTCCATCGTTCTCGCCCTGGTGAATGCCTACAACCTGGCTAAGGAACACGAACATCATCTGTTAGTATAATATAACATCTGACTGATCAGTTTCGAATTATAATAGCTGAATCGGCATGTTGTGAACCACATGTACTTCTGATCAGTGAGCACATTAAGGAAGAGAACGGCGGTGAACTTCCAGAAAGAATCCATTATGATTACTTGAACATCCGTAACAAGAGTTTTCCCTGGGGGAATTACGTGCGTAGTTCTTGTGTTATCCTTCCAGTTGTCTGTATGTGATGATGATGAAGTTGATGATGATTGGACTGATGATGATTGGGTGTTGTGGCAATTAGACTTTGTTTTACAACCCCAAAACTAACTTGCCTCCTCCCTAATCATCCCAAGCTGTGTAATTCAATGTGATCAATTCAAACCCGATGTTCATGATTTTGTTTGCTCCTTAGGTCAGACTCTCGAACAATGACTTACTGATCACTAGCACCAGCGAATCGTTATCTCCCACTTGACCCCGGGTCGATCATCGACACCATGTGCCTACTTTGCCCGTCAAATCAATCTTCATTTTTTTTTTTTTTTTTGAAAAATCGATCGGCCGATGAGCAAGCCACTTGCGTTTTCCGTCGCCGGCTCTGCTTCCTTCTGCAGACCTTTCATTGAAAATACACACATCTTTCTACTTCTTTTTGGGCGATGACGAAAAAAGAAACCATAAGAAAAAGTAACCTGACCAATCTTATAGCAACTTGGCAGATCGAAGAGAAAGAGGAAACTACAAGACGACAAGTGGATTCGAAGCGAAAGCCTAATCCGAAAAAAACCGCAACCCCTTTATTTAATTTTCCTTGACCATATTATATAGACACGAGCGAAACCGTCTCCTATTGGATGAACTGGTTTTGTCGTGCTCTTTGATTTGGAAACAAACAGGGAAAAAAATAAAGAGGTGTGGTTGATGATTGGTGCAGGCTCCTTCGGATCCAATCTTGCTCGTTCTTGTTTGTTTTTTTCACATCTTTTTCTTTGGGTCTTGCTTTGTTTGCTGGGATGACGGAATTCTTAAGTTTTTCTAAAGTGTAATAGTTTGCAATCCGAGCCCTTTTCCCCCTCATCTTATCCAACATTCCACACAAAAATGAAAAGAAACTTTCATCTCTTTCTCGTTAAGTTTTTATCTGAACTGGGCCACCTTTCCTCAATTAATTCTTGCTTTTGGTTTTGTATTTTGTGAGAGTGAGAGATCATTTGACATTCTCATGAGAAACATAGATCCTGTGGCGTCCGGTCTCTGTCAACATTAAAGATCATTTTTTTCAGAAGCACTTCATCCATTCCGTTAATCTTAAGTTTCAATTCGAACAAGTTCTTGTTCAAAGTACGTAGACACTCCGGAACCAGCAATATGCGCCTTGGCCCTTTGACGATTCCTCCGACCGGTGTTCGGCATTGCACAGGTCTGAACAACCAGCTGATACTCATCTCCCCGAAGTTGAACACTTGGGTGTTGGTTGGTCAGTCACATACCGATTGGCCCTTGTCACATAGCATCGACCCTCTCTTTGTTTTTCTTTTCAGTCTCGTGGTTATGTTCTGTTGAGTGTTCTCTGTGCACCATAGGAGGTGGCTTGATTCACATCTCATTTGCTGCCTGTCTCACCAATTTATCTAGCAAACTCTGCACACCGCTTCCAAATAAATTCGTACCTTAATTCATGTAAATAGGTGTATTTTTGGCACACACAGAGTAAGCTTCAATTAGTAGTATTGTAGCATCATCACTGTATGAAATTTCTTGATTCTTTCTTGGTATGTAGGCTTGTTTGTGTCTTCTCTTCTCTTGCATTGGTGGGTTGGATTTTCCAGCCTGTCTGTCGTCATTCATTCTGATTTACTCCTTGTGATTGGGAATTGAGGCATAAAAAGTTTGAGGGACATTCTGTACGCTTGACCAGAAGTCCCCACAGCACAACCCCTTTGAATTGTTGCAAAGAAGCTTCTTCAAAATAAAAGTGCTCCAAGGATGCCCATCCAAAAAGTGTGGAGCACCAGGGAATCGAACCCTGTGCCTCTCGCAGATCCCGTGTCGCTGTATGCGAAGCGAACGCTCTACCATATGAGCTAGAGCCCCCGATATTCCCCGATGACCGGTGTTTTACGTAAATATTCAAACGGTGTACGGTACATATTCCTGTTTCTTTCCCCCCAAAACTGAATTTTCAACGGATGCCGAGCTGCATCAACCAACCAAAACACCTCTCAATCAAGATACTTATCGATGGATCTGGCCGAGGAAGAATGTGGCGAATGGGAGTACGAAGAGGAGGAGGAATATGAAGAAGGAGCTGAAGAGGAACATTTTCCGATCGGCTACACAATCGAATTCTCGGCCGAAGATCGAGAAGCGCACGAAGAGGATGGCGATGCTGAACAAGCACCTCGGGGTGGCTTGGGCTCTCAGGCGCTGCCGGTGTCGGACACGCTCAGGGCTGATTGGGATGGCATACCCACTGATGGGGCTGAATATCTGTTTACTGTACGGTTTGTGACTCGTTCGATCCTATGCTCAGGCAGAAAAACCTTAGAGCTCGGCAATACTAACTCGATTTCTCTTTGGTTATTCTGCCTCTCAATCACGGGTTCGACAAACCGAAATTCCATCATCTCTGCCAGACGCGAAGCCAGGGCCAGACCAAGGATTGTTGCAAAAGAGAATCCCTACAAGCTACCCAGTCGTTCCCTTCCCCAACCCGGACCAATAGGATGTAAACAATCGGGACCAAGCGATTCCTGGAGAAAGAAGTTCATTGAGAGGTTTATGAACATGCGTCAGGTAGGTGGGTCGCATGCTTTCTCGATCGAATGACTGACTGATAAGCTAATAACACATTGGCCTTTTTTTGGTAGAGTCTTCAAGTTCAGGAGCCATGGCATTGGGATCTCGCCGAGGATTTTCGTCGCCCGCCTCCCGACAATGACGAATCTAACTGGAAGATTTTCATCTTGGGAAAGAAGACAAATCTCAAAGATTATCCAGCCAGAGCTCCCATCCCATTGTTCCTGAAAGCCTTGGAACAGGTTGGTTTCTTACTCGCTGTCTAAAACCAATCCATTTGTGTATATTAACGAAAGATTTTCCTACCTGTTGATCTTTCCCACCATAGGCGACTGTAATTGCGGTACTAAGTCACTATCAAGCTTGGATCCAAGAACGGATCAATGCGCTTGCAACAATGATTGAACAGAGCAATGATGTCGAACTGCCAGATGATGTCGAAGATCCCACTGAATCTCAAGAAATCGTCTTACTCTCACCCTCTGATGGGGCTTGGTTGATGGGCCTACTAGCTGTCCTGGATGCCGTCTTGACTTCTGAGGATGTTTTCAAGCTTCGCGAACTCGCTCGGAGCTGCAAACACGTCGTCCACATCACGAACGCCGCCCTCCAGCTTGCCCAGGACAGCTCGGCCGAGCAAGAAGCCGGCGTGGCATGGATGGTCATCGCTGCAGTGGCTGATGTTTGGGGACAGAAAGACTTATGGGATGAGTAGAAATAGAATTCACCCTTGCAAAAACTTGGGTCTCTGGCTTAAATCCAGTTTTTTTGCTTCTTCATTTGGGTCACAGTTGAATTAATCAAGAAACTGTTTCCTCGGTTTGAGAACATGACTCTCATTCCAAAACAAACAATGTTCAATGTGAAAACATTTGTTTTTATTATTTTTTTAAGATGTTGTTGGAAGGCATTTTACAAATGATTTGAAGATAGCTACAAGAACACCCAATGGGTTTCTAGTGTTGGTAATAGTATAGTTTGGACAGACTATGTCACTAAAATTACAACCTGAATGCATAAAGTGCAAATGTGATAAAATTTAGGAATTGGTCTTCCAGCCAATGGATGAGGGAAGAGTGCTAAGAACAACACTAGCAGACCCATCCAGGTTCTTCCTGTATCAGCACCCAAATTAACTTTCATATTCCTGATCCCTCCATGCAGAAGGGTAGCTGTCAATCTCACAGAGACCCAGCTCTGAGTCCCACTATGGTTGTGTTTTCTTGGATTGGAAAACAGTCGAAAACAGTCAGACCAAAACTTCTGGCTGCCCAGTACTGCAGCTCAATTCCCACTAGGATTTCTAGGGTGACGAATTCTGTTGCACTCAAGGGTCTTAGTATTGGCCTGGTGTGGATGTTGCCAGCAGTGAGCCCTAATTGGTGTCCTGCCTTGAGGGTTCTGCTGTGCTGTAGTGATCTCGATGTGAGGGAGTGTGAGGGTGCAGTTTGTTTGCTTAGGTAAGCCTGTCTGGCTGAACTGGTTCGTCATCGGAAGGAACCTTAAACCCACTCTCCCACTCACCCACTTCCCTTTCGCTTATCATCACTGGCTTCAATCGATTTCAGTTCTTCGTCTCATCCTTAACACCTCAAACCAACCATCGACAGCCCCGCCTGCCCATCAAACAAGTCGTTTACAGTATGTATGTAGATACAGCTTGAACCTTTTTATCTTGGCTCTCCTGACCCACTGCCGATCAGCTCACCAGAGCATTCAAAATTTGGTCCACTTGATCTGATCCCATCCTTACCTTGTTCCCCAGTTGCAGGTTTTTGAAATAGCACTGAGAAGATGCAGGGCAACTATAGCTTTCTTCAGCAGGATCCCCGATTTCTTCAACAGCAACAAGCGGCAGCGCAGGCTCAATCTGGGAACTTGAACCAACAACAACAGCAGCAACAACAGCAGCAACAACAACAGACGGGCTATCTTCAAGCTCAAAGAACCGGCTATGTTCAGCCACAGCAAACCAGCGGTTTCCTTCAAAATCAACAAACCGGCTACCCACAACCGCAACAACAACCCGGCAGTTTCCTTCAATCTCAGCGTACTGGCTTTGTTCAGTCTCAACCTACCGGCTTCGCTGGTGGCGGAATGATACGAGTTCAACCAACTGGGATGGCCCTCCCACCCCAGCAAACCGGCTTTGGCCTTCAACCTCAACAGACTAGCTTCGGCGGTCTTCAGCCTCAACAGACCAGCTTTGGCATGCAATCACAACAAACTGGATTCGCCATGCAACCCCAACCAACCGGTTTTGGAATTCAGTCTCAGCCTACTGGTTTTCCTGGAGGCTCTCAATTCAATATCTCCACTCAATTCTCAAGCCAACAGCCGCAAAATCTTGGCGTCCCCTCTCCTCAGAACGCACCCTCCCGTTTTATGGGCGGCATTACCGCTCAGCCAACTGGCTACCCGATGGGCTTCCGTGGACAGATGCCTGCTCTAGCCGCCTCATCTCAACCATTTCTCAATACCTTCATGCCTGCCCCAGGCGCTCAACAGCCGATCGGCATGGGCAACTTTCAACCTTCGCAGATGCAGTTTGCCCAACCTACTAGTCAGTTCAGTGGTATGAGTCTTCAGCAGACATTTCAACAACAGAACCAGCAACAGATCGGCCAAGCTGAAGTCAAAGTGCCGTGGAAGCTCTCGACCGAAGAAAAGAAGAGTTATGACCAGATCTTCAGAGCCTGGGATCAAACTGGCTCCGGTTTTATTGAGGGCAAGATGAGCACCGAAGTATTCGCTCAGAGTGGGCTTCCAAGAGAGGATCTCATGCAAATTTGGTTGGTTCGAAAATTTCGATATGTTAAAGAAGGAGGTATTCATGTCAGGAAAGCTGAGCGTCTTGATTCTCTTGCAGGGGCTTGGCTGACGTGGAAAATCGTGGAAAACTCAACTTGGCCGAATTTCATGTGGCTATGGGCTTGATCTACCGTCGTTTGAATGGGAACCCAATACCTTCTAGTCTGCCTCCCGAGATGGTGCCACCCTCGGCCAGGGATCTTGACAATTCGGTTGACTTTTTGAAAGACTTGTTAAAAAAAGACAACTCGCGCGCCACGGGCGAAGCTTATGCCAAACACACCCTCGGTCCTGTCCGCTCTTTACATGGTGCCAGGAGCTCACCCAACCTTCATAAGGATGCTACCATGTACAAACACGACGAAGTGGACAGCTCAAGCACGTATAAATCCCAATCTCGACACATCGATCGCCGCACCGTTCGTCACGCTGGCGAGGACAAGGCGACGGCTAATCTAGACGATATCAAACGCGATCTTGACCGAACCGACAGCATGCTCGAATCGTCAAGACAAAGAGATAATGACCAGAGCCATCTCGATCATGACCTCGAAGATCTTCAGTATCGTATTAAACGCCTTCAGGATGACATTGAGTACGTCTCACGACCTGGTCGACGATCAGAAGCTAACGATCAAGAGAGACGAAAGCTCGAGCGTGAACTGCTTCGATTACGTCACGAAGATCTACCTGAGCTCGAAGCTAAGATTTCGGATCGCGATCGCCAGCGTCGGAAGGAGTCGCAAGCTTATTCTCGACAGCGAGATCAGCGCAACAATCGCAATCGCTTCGACTCCGATCGTCTCAGTGATTCCAACGATGACGATCATCGGCGGGACAGCTATCCAGATCGTGGCTACCTCAAAGGTACCTACGAGCGCGACGTCCCTTCACGAGCTTCTGAACGCGGCTTCAGAGATACCCCTTCCCGCTCCTCTTATCGGGATACTCCCTCCCGCTCCTCTGCACGTGAGGTTCGGGATGACAGAGATGATCGTGCCTATGATGATAAACGCTCACCATCATCTCCATCTACAAGTATCACCAAGTCTCCGCCTCCTCCGCCACCTGTCTCGGCTCCACCAACGAAAACGATGACGGCTGAAGAAAAGAAGGCCTTTATTCAAGCTGAAGCTCAGCGTCGAATTCAGGAGAGACTTCGTTCATTGGGTATAGGCGGAGGATCATCCGCCCCGGCAGTCGATAACAGCGTAAACTCGCGCTTGGAGCAAGAAAAACAAGAAGCTGCCTTGAGAGCGTCTCAAGCCGACCAGGAAGCTGCCGAGAGAGAGAAGCAACGTCAAATTCGACTCGAAGAAGAGCGACTGAGTCGTTCGCAGAACCAAGAAAAAATGGATGCCAAGTCTAACTCCAAAGGCCCACCAGTATCAGCGGAAGCTGCCCCACCCGCTAACGTCAACAAACCAGTGGAAAGCGACTTATCGGCTGAAGAAGAGGCGTTACTGAAAAAAAGGGAAGATGCTCTAGCGAAAGAAAAGGCTGCAAGGTTGGCCAGAATTAAACAACTAGAAGAAGAGGAGGAGGAAAGTCGTCGACTGGAGCAAGAATTCAAAGAGAAGAAGGCTATGTTCGCATCTCGTTCGGCCCCATCCCCATCAGTTGTTAAAAAGCCTCCACCCCCACCTGCACCCCGAAGTAGAGCCCCTCCTCCGGCTGCAGTACCGCGATCTGCTAGCCAAGTCAAGCTGCCGCCCTCATTGCCTCAATCCGTCCCGCCCTCATCACAAGTTGCTTCAACTCCCACAATTGCTATCGGACTTGCTGAAGAACCTTCAACCCCCTTCATTTCGCAGGTTCCACCAGCCCCACCAGCCCCACCAGCACCACCAGCCCCGCCGGCTCCTCCAGCACCCCAACTTGCACCAGCCCCCTCGTTACCCTCAGTACCACAAGCTCCCCCTCCCCCTCCAGCTCCCTTTTTGACTACACAGGCGCCATCTGGTTCGACTCCCAGCACCAATCCATTCCATCGTCTAAGCTCCTCAACAAGCAACGATTCCCCCGCGCCTGCGACGCCTGCATCGTTTCCGGCTACGCTGTCAGCCAACAATCCATTCTTCAAACCGACAGGCGCTACTACGCCAACCCAACAACCATCAGTTTCACCTCAGCCCAGTTTCCGGCCTCCACCTCGCCCTCAAGATTCAGATGACGAGTGGGATGCTGCTAAAGAGAAAGATGATGATGATGATGATAGCGATGATGAAGGGGCAGCTACTGCCCGAAAAGCTCGACAAGGCCTAGCGGAAGCCTTGTTTGGAGGGATTATGCCATCTCGACCTCAATCGGCTGCTGCGAATCCTTCCAATCCCGCACCACCTGCTCCTCCTACGCCACCCTCTGCGCCCCCTGCTCCTGCGGCTCCTGCAGCACCCAAAGCGCCAATTCTCCCGATGTCAAGTGCCGCCCCAGCAGATCGTGGAATGCTTTTAGGCGAGATCCAGTCAGGGAAGCGGCTTCGAAAGGCACAGACCAATGACCGCAGTGCGTCCGGTCTGGCTGGCAAAGTGATCGGAGAAGATCCTTCTTCTCAACATCACCCAGCAGCAAGTGTTGAAGCAGATGATAAACGTCGCTCGGTCGATTGGATGGGTGGGATGGCCGCCGATGGGATGCGCTTGCCCAGCCCTAATCATCAGCCCAGTCTAACGACTCATGCCGAAGAGTCTACACCTCCACAGGAGGAACCTTTGCAATCCACTGGAGCTGAGGATTGTACAAAAAACTTTGACATGTCACAAAGTAAGAGACCGATTTTTTCTTTACGGGTCCTAAATTCTAACCAATTCGGCCTCTTTCCCTGTTCATCTTCAGCTATCCGGGTTAGGTCCCTGTATGCTTACGTTGGGCAAGGTGAGGATGACTTGACGATGGACGTCAATCTCGTGATCGTTGCTCATCCTTCAAGAGTAGATGAGGATTGGATGTATGGGAGCGTCGAGGCGACCGGCCAATCGGGGACGTTCCCGAAGTCATACGTCGAAGAGATCAAAGGTTGGTTGAGCGGTGTTTACGAATCGAAAAAGAATGAAAAGATAGATCAGATGATTGATTGACTGGCTTTTGTTTTGTAGCGACTTGGGGTAAAGCTCTTTACGATTATTCGGCTACCAGCCCTGATGAAGCAGACTTGGTCGAAAACACCAAGGTGGCCGTTGTGGATAGTTCGGACCTTGATTGGTTCAAGATTGAGGACAGGGGCAAGATCGGAATGGTGCCCGCGGCCTACATCGAACTTGATGGTTAGTTGATCGTGGTGGTGTACACATAGATCTCACTCCTCGATTCCTAACTTCGATTGTTTCCTTTCCGTGTTCCTGT